TAGGTTTTTCTATTTGGCGCACAATTATCCTGGTGTTAATCCGGTTGGCGATACTAACGGCTCGTTTAATGTACTCGCCCTCCAGTTCATGACAATCGCAGTGAATGTATATAATGTCCGGCCGTTGGTTCCTAAGCACCGATACTATGGACAGGAAGTGCGCGAACTCTATGCGATGTATTGCGAACAACACGTAGTGAACAATGTTTGGCACTATTTTGTCCGGATATCCAGTGATATTGTCGTAAGGGTTTGGGTCAAGGATTGTGAGGTTTTCATAGGGATAGTGGTAAGGTATTATGAGATTGTCGTAGGGGTTGAGTGAAAAGATGGTGTTTCCATAAGAAGTAATTGGGCTCAGTTTATAAACCAATGTTACCATTGCTGTCATTATGATGATTGTTAATAATAGAACTTTTCTTTGAATTTTCATTTTGTGAACAGATTTTAAATATGGTTATAAAATATCCAATTTAGTTGACACACTTTAGTTCATAATGTGTGCTTACCAATTATTAATACTTGTAGGTAAATAATTTTGTAAAACTACAATATTATTAATAATGTACATTTATTAGATTGTTCTAATTTTTATTAAGTATTATATTATATTGATGGTATACTACATTATGTTGAATAATACTTATAATTTATTATATTATCGTTAGTAAAATCTATGGTTATAAAATAATAAAATTGCAATAATAAAGATTTATATGATTATAACATTAATTAAAATGAATAATGTATTAGTATTAAGAAAAGCTTTTTCTGTACGCTTATCATTGATTTTTGTGAACACAGTTTATAAATAGACATTTGATATATTTTTCAATGACTGTTATGAATAGGACTCAAATGTTATGGTTTTAATTTGAATACTATTGAATTGAGAATCAAAAACAACCTGAAATTTATTTACTAAATCTGTTGTAATTGAATTTTTAAAATCAGTTTAATTTAAGTCTTATAGTAAGTCTATGCGCGCAACACTACTGTATATTATTAAGCATGCTGTTCACTATAAACTTGTGATCCTAGATCCACTAGATCAGTTTATTGTTAATATTAAGCTACACAGTGAAGAGCTGGTTAATTCATTTTCCTATTACATTCCTATTATCAAAAATGAAAATAAGATCCATTTCCCAAACCTACCCTAACCTATTTGCCACCCACTAAACCAATCACAAACTCAATTGAAAAAGTATTTATTATGTCATTACTACTGTATTTATAAAACTAATATATTTTTATCACAAAGTTGTGCTCAAAATATAGCCACAGTATTCAGGTATTAATTTAATTTAATAATCATACTAGTTTATTCATTTATTAAAATTAATATGACATTTATATAACAGTCAGTCCGCCATCAATGACCAGATTAGTGCCCGTTATATACCGGGCGTCATCTGAGGCCAAATACACCACACCATTGGCCACATCTATAGGCTGTCCAATGCGTTTAAGTGGTATCTGTCGGGCAATAGCATCCAGTTCCTCGGGAGTCAAATACTTTTTCAACGATTCAGTCAATATAGGGCCCGGACTTAAACCAAACAAACAATACATTAAAATCGCCACAAAATATAATAACTTAATATTATTATGAGATTTGAAGGCCTACTCAACGGCATTGATCCTAATCCTTGGTCCCAACGCCACGGCTAGCACTTTGACCGAGTAATCGATGCCTACTTTGGCCACACCTATCGGTACGGCTCTTATGTCCTATAATTATAGTTATAATTATAATTATAATAAATACAAATACAGTGAATATCTCATAAATAACATACAATACTAGAGTCACGTATACCACCCATGTTAATAATGGAGCCATTGGTGGTGTTTAGGTAGGGGTGGACCAGTTGTATGAGCTGTAAGGGGGCCCTCAGGTTGACCGCCATAACAGCATCGAAAACATCGGTCAGATTCTTGTCATCAATGGTCGCCAGGAGACCAATGGCCGCGTTGTTCACCAATACATCTAACTTTCCAAACGTTTCAATGGTTTCGTTGACCAATCGGTTCACGTCATCAGGTTTTGCCAAATCGGCCACAATTTCTAATGGCTTTCATTGTTTGGCAATTAATTGTTTAATTAGTTTTTGTGTGCTTTTCTAATTACCTTTAGTTTATATGGAGATAATTGTTGAGCCTCTTTAGCCACGCGACTAATATCTGTGGCATTCCTACCGGTGACCACAACACTGGCCCCTAATCTGGAGAACTCTTTAGTGGTGATCTCTCCGATGCCAGAGCTACTTCCGGTCACCAAAACTACCTTTCCCGTAAAATTACGACCATTTGATCGCCAATTATGCTCGATATTAGTTGGCACCCTGATTATATTTGCGCTCACTATTGATATAGTAATAAACAATACAATCTTATTGAAATACATTATTTTTATTTTGACTTATTATTTAGAAATTAATATTATAAACTACACATAAATTTATTATGATTTGTATTTGTTGCTGGTATTTATATAGGGATTTGTTGAGGAAGTAAAGGACCTTGATCATTAATTGGATAAATAAAGTTAATATGATTGACTATGGTGGTTATCTATAAATATTCAATACACTAAATATTAATCAGTAAAACAATTGATATTTTTTAAATACACTTTAGTGCAAAATAACATATTAATAGACAATTTTTAATCATAAGTGTATTAAACAATAATCAGTGAAACAATGTTTTTGCACTATTTAGTGCAGTCTAAAGTAATATAAGATAACAATTGCTTTCAATGTTTACAAAAATTACAAAATTACGTGAAAAAGATATTGAACTAAATTTAAATGTATATGAGTGTCTCAAAGTCCAACAAATCGGCCACCATTTCCCCAAATGTAACATTCAACTGGGTAACATTGTGCTCATAAAACTTTGTGTGGGGCGGGTAGTTATTTTCATCACCAAAACACCAGTCCTTAAAACTGATCTCTTGGCCCCTCAGCACCAGATGAATGGTATAAAACCCTTGCCTCCAGTTCTTGTAGTACTCTCTGTAAACCTTAGGACAAACTAACGGGGCGTCCACACCGAACCCACCCATAACCCTGTGTATGAGGTGTGGCCGGTTGTATAATATCCGTTTGGTGGGCAACTCACCCCCGTTATAATACCACTGCTCCTTATCGTAATCGCGGTACGTTTGAAGGTATAGACGCAAAAATCTGGCATTTTTATGTCCTATCAATATCTGGTTGCCCAGGTATTGATCCAAATCCCAGTTTAGGGTCATTTCAAAGTAGCGGAATGGGTCCAGAGATTTACATACATACACATCCCTATCCAGGTATATGCCGCCGAACTCCATGAGCACCCGTATTCTCGTGATGTCGGACGCGTGCCAATCCATGTAATCAGTGCTCAGGAGTCGGCCAAATATTTCCGTAGGTTTTAGTATTTGGCGCACAATTATCCTGGTGTTGATCCGGTTGGCGATACTAACGGCTCGTTTAATGTACTCGCCCTCCAGTTCATGACAATCGCAGTGAATGTATATAATGTCCGGCCGTTGGTTCCTAAGCACCGACACTATGGACAGAAAGTGCGCGAACTCTATGCGATGTATTGCGAACAACACGTAGTGAACAATGTTTGGCACTATTTTGTCCGGATATCCAGTGATATTATCGTAGGGGTTGGGGTCAGGGATTATGAGGTTTCCGTAATTGTGGTATGAATTGAATGGTTGTCTCAATATGTAAATCAATATTAATATAGCAGTAAATATGATGACTGAGAATAATAGCCGTTTTGTGTAACTTCTCATTGCTTTTCAACCAAGATATTTTTATCAAATAAATTATTAGATATAATTAAAAATTTTTATAAAAAATATGTATAATATAATAATAAATAGATTTTTATAAGGAATTTATTTGAATGTTGTTTAATTTTATAAATTATTTTCATAGTGATAGACATTAAATATGACATATGCACATTTTGCATAATCATTATTTGTAAATTATTATATACGGTATACGAAATGAAAAATAATAATCTGAATTTTATGAAATTATTATTTGTATGTGTCATTTTGATAAACTGTTTGATACTGCTACAATTATTTATTACAATGTTAATAGAGAAAAAATGTTTAGATTTAACTTAAAACAGACCACATATTGTCACGCATGCTGAAAAGTCCAAGGGCTTTTACAAGTGTTTTTAAACATTATAATATGCATTAACCGTATAATAATTAATTAATTACTTTTATTAAATTATATTACAATAGGAATGCAGAATATAAATAACATTTCAATAGTATTCAACGGCATGTGTATATTGTTTCAGTTATTACCATAACACTTATGTTATGTAAATGATACCAATTGTACCAATGTGTTATATAACTTATATTGTACAGAAAATATCTACTGTAATATTCAAATGTTTATGTTTATAAAATATAATTCTAGTAATGTTTACATGTTACTTAAATAACTCATGAGTTTTGAAAATATTTAAAAGATATGAAAGTAATTTTTGTAATTAATGTTTATAAACTCCAAAAAGACTATTCACAAATTATTAAAATATAACATTAGTAAACTTATTATTATGTTACTTATACAAACTTATACAGTCTGTTAATAGATTATACAATAGTAAAGCTCGAAAATAAATATTTCGGTAGCAGTTTTGTTAAACATTTTTGTTACAACTTAAGTGTTTGGTTTCAATTTGGTATTTTATTAATCAGTGATAAGTATTAAAAAAACTTTGTTATAACTTATTTCATATAACTTATTATTACTGTATAATACTTGAATAGAGTGTTAAAATAAAAAATAATTATATTTAATAAAATAATATAAACTTAAATTATAGCAAACCAATAGACTAGTTAATTGTCAATATAAGCTAGCACAGTAAAGTGCTGATTAATTCATTTTCTGATGATTAGAATAAGATCCATTTCCCAAACCTTCCCCGACCTATTTGCCCACTAAACCAATCACAAACTCAATTGATAAAGTATTACTATATTTATTGCCTAACTATATTGTATTGTATATAAAATTCAATTGCTGGTCGACTTAGCAGTGAAACTATTCAAATGAACAATAAATAAGAAATCCGTTAATAGTAAGATTCAAACACCAAGAATCATTTGTTATGCGGTACTCGCATACTATATATTGTCTAAAATACTGTAAATTTTTGGCGATATTGTTGTAATAAACTTATATGTTAATTTATTTATCAAGTATATTATCAGTAATTCTTATAGAGAAATACAAAATATAGAATGTAAAGTATGCCTACTACTTGGGCGGCGTGCACAAAGTACGTACGCAAAATTTTGTTCAAAAATTGACCCCCCTCCCCCCTACACGCCCATCGTACATAGGAATTTAACATGGTGACATACGCTTTGGCATGAC